AAGATCCAGGACCTAGTAATTTGTAATTTTTTGCCAAAGCTCAAATTAAAATTATGCTACTACAATGTTAAGCAATAGCTAATGAGTAACCTTGCTGACTACCCAGCACTCTAATTTCAAGGTGATTTTGGCAATCTGTTTTTGTCAGTTATGTATTTCATGGGGATAAGTTATATTCTGTAATAGCATTTGAAATGTGGGGCTCAAATACGTCAAATTTTCTTGTGCCTATGTATTATATGCCCCTAGACATAATTCAAAAGACATGAACTTTGTAAATTATCATTTATGGTGTTTAAACCCAAGATGATATTTTTCCACTCAGCAAAATGCAGAAAAATCTATCTTTATTAGTGTTAACCAGTAGAAATATGATGCTAACCATAAATGTGAGCCATATGTAATTTAAAATTTCCTAGTAGCATGTTTTTAAAAAGTATAAAGAGGCAAGTACAATTAATTTTAATAATATATTTTATTTAACCCAGTATATTAAAATATTTAAACATGTGACTAATATAAAATGTTACTAATGAGGCATTTCCCTTTTTTTTCCTATATCAAGTCTTTGAAATCTGGTATGTACTTTACACTTACTGCGCATATCAGTTTGGCCTAGCCACATTTCAGGTGCTCAACAGCTTCATGTGAGTAGTGGCTACTTTATTGAACTGTGCAGCTCTCTACTTTCAGTTGGTTCAGAGAATTAAAGCCGATTTTAATATTAGCCTAGGAAGAATAAAAGTAGAAAGGTAAGACTGCTCTAGAAAATTAGACTAGATTAATAGTTACAATTAACTCCTGAATAGCTATAAATAACCATTTATATTAGTAAAACTTTTTATTCAAATGGAAACAAATATTAATTTGATGCCTAATGTTTAATACAAGCAGATTTACTTTGAGTTATTGGTGTTTGGTTGGGGTGGGTTGGGAGGTGATGAGTAAGCCCCACATCACTTAACTCCCAAGGCCCTTGTTTGAAAATCACCCAACCAGATACTCTTGAAGGTCCCTTCCAACTCTTAACATTTATGTTACAGAGTCAAAAGATGAATTCAAGATTAACTACTGGTACAGATTTCTCATTCTCCAGACCACATGTTTTTTTTGGAAGTTTAAGTATCAAGGATGATTGAGGATCCATATTTACCTATATAGATTGAGTCTTACCCTAAATATGTGTTTTTTTGTAAAAAACTGTTAGACTGTAAATCTTTGGAGAGTAAGCACTAAACATCTAGTATCTTCTTAGGCAAGTTTGCTGTTTTAACTAGGTGATAATTAGCAATTAGAAGATAGCTGCATTAGTCATTTGTGAATCAGGAACACTAACTTTTATTTTGGAACTGCTTCACTACTGGCTACTTCAGAAAATAGTGAAGAAAATAACAGTTTTTGACAATATAGAGGTTTATATTCCAAAGAAGTGTACATAGTTTAATAATGCCTTAAGTTCTAGAACCTTGTGATACAGATTCTTTGCCAGTTATAACCCTCTGTTATGATCTTTATATTGGCTTTGAAAGTATTTTCTTAAGCAGAGGAAAGTAAGTTTAATCATGTTGAGAGCTTTACAGACTTGGACAATTACTGCAGGTAAGCATATCTAAAAGAATGATAGTCCTTGCTGTTATCATTATAAAGAATCTACAATAAGCTTTTGAAATGATACCAAGATAACAGTCTGATCTGTAAATCATAGAATTGATGGTTGGTGTGCATCTTATTTTCAGCCTGTGAAGCACCTCCATGGTATGCCTTGGGCTTCTTAGGGCAGTTTGTTAACCATAGAAAAATATATTTACTATACCTTTCCTGAACTAACATCCTCTTACAGTAAGTAGTTCTGATGTGAGTATGGTAGGAATATCACCTTTGTTTTAAATACCATATGTCCAATATACCATAAGATCTCATACTCTTCTGTTAGGCAATACTGTATTTGAATGAGAAATACAGGCATAACTTGTTATAAACTTTTGACTTTATAACTCTTATTGAACTTGTTAACTATGTATACTTAATATGTACTGTTGTGAACTCAGGGCTATATTTCATTTGTACCTTAAGGAATAATTTTTTCTTACTACCATGTCCTATGGTAGTTATCATTACAGTTTTCTTATTTCTAGGATATGTATGATATATTCTCATTTTTCTACCTAACCATATATTTGTGTGATTTCTTAATTAAGATAGAGACAGAGATCTCTAACAAATTATAAACTTTTAAATCTGGGACTGTCACATGTACCTCTTTTGTATATACTCCATAGTACCAACAGTAGTCATTTGATAGACATTCAGTAAATATTTGTAAAATATATGATATAAGAGTTCTGTTTGACACCTTATAGTTTCTAATTTACTTCTATTTTACTAGTATCTCATGTGTTTGTGATTTCCCCCTCCCCTCTCTGGCAGGTGTTATGATGCTACAACTCTTGGAAAAAGTGATTGAATTGGAAAATTGGACAGAGGGAAAAGGTGTCATTATCCGTGGGGCAAATAATACTTTCTCCTCAGGATCCGATCTCAATGCTGTGAAAGCACTGAGAACTCCAGAGGCAAGTATTGTATAAATTATGTACTAGATTTTACAAGTTTGTAAGAATTCTATAGCTGAATATTTATATTTTACTTATGTGATCGTTATGATGACAGCTACTCTTTAATAGGTTTCCAAGGATCAGAGTTTTTGTTTTGCTTCAAGATTAGATTGCAGCAGTGTGAAGTACTGGAGTAAGAAAAGGAAGGACACAAGATGATCAAAAACCAAAATCCATTATTAAAAGTGGCAAAATCTGAATCTTTTAAGTGGGAGACCCTAGCATCTGAAGATAAAGAATTTTACATGAGATACTAGATAAAGTATCTAGCATATCTTTGACACAGAGTAGGCTTCAGCAAATGGTAACAATTCAAAAATTTGCTTTTGAATTTCTCTGAAAGAAAAAGAATCTTAATCATCTTCCATGATCAGTCCTCAAAGGAACCTGTTTTCTTTAATTCAGCTTTCCACCCACATCCACTAGGCCAAAAAAAAACCACAGACAGAGGGAGAAATTAAAAAGGAAAAACAAATAAGGATTTGATACCATTTAACTATAGATGTGGGCTGTATGCAGGTAATAATGTTTAAGTGGTGGTATTCCACAACTCTTACACCACTCTATGATCTCTGTTTGCATAAAAATGTGAAGAGTGAAATCTCTTATAATTTTCATAGACTTGGATTTTAGTGCTGGTTTCAACACTTTCGCAATTAAGCAAATCACTTAATCTTTTTAAGTCTTATTTTCCTATCCTGTATGTTAGAATTATGTATTTCATAGAGCTATTGTGAGGATTCAAGATGTCTTGCCAATGGGTTTCAGCCCTGGGCAAGTTCACTATGGATTCAGTGAGACTGAGGAATGACAATGGAATGTTCTTGGGGTGAAAGGGTTTATTACCTGGCTTGTTTTCCCAGTGATAGGTCGAGCACTAGAATTACATCTGCATCTGACAGTCTATAAGTCTGGAATCCTCCTTCGTCTCTGCTTCCACCCAGAGCACTGGGCAGAGCTCTTTATATAGTGACTCAGTGAATAATAGCTAATTGCCTAGGGTGTGGAAGCAGTAACCTAGCAGCAGGCCAGTTACATCATCAAGTAGTTTAGGTTCAGGTGAGCATCCTGGCCATAGGAACCTTTACTTTATCCCCACTCCATGCCTCCAGGATTCTCACCTCATAGTCTACACACTCAATCTCCTGCAATGGTCCTTTTGTGAGGAAGCTGGAGCATTGTGACCAGATTCCACAACAGCAACAGGGGATAACAACAAAATAGAGATAATAACAAAAATTATGGCACAACAAAATTACGGTACAGGTAACAAAACTTATAATAATCCTCAAGCCTGAGGAGGTTATTTCAGCTATATTCAAAACCAGGTCTACTCATATGAGTTCATGACTCACACTTGGTAGTGGTACAGATAGGGAGATCCGTGTGCCCCAGTGAGTAGCAATTTTTTTGCTAGGTTGTGTGCCCAATCCACAAACACCTGAAGGGTAATAAGACACATGTTTTACTGATACCAATACAGGCAAATCTTGTGCATCAGGTAGGATGCATGCAAGAGAGTGGTCCTGTGATAGGACTGTAGCAGGAAGGGGGTTCCTTCCAGGTCTAGTATACCATACCTTTAACTCCTCTTCCCATGGGGGTTACTGAAGGGTCTATATATAGTGCTACTGGAGGTACATGCACTGGCCATAATGGTAAAACAAAACTCCCCAGTAAGATGCTCCTACCTTCTGGCCATTCACGATATACTACTGTGATCTTTGGGGGCCTCTCTGCTGTTACTCCAGGAATACACAGGAGGCCAGCTTCCAGGCCTTGTCCCCAAGGTACCAGGAGGGCCAGCCATTGTTGGTCCATGGGTCAAAATGTCCAAGGCCATGTCCACTTAGTGGTGACAGCAAGATATTATTCTGGTGGCCGAACCTTGGCTTCAATGGATCTTCCTTGCTTTGTACTTGTACTTGTATAGGGTAGGCAGCCATATGTGTTAACATGTCTACTGGGCTCAGGGCTGTCTTTCATTGTTTCTCATTCAAACGATGTAGCACTGTTCGTAAGTGGAATGACCATCCCCACAGACTATTGGTGTCTGATTTTAGTCCAGATTTTAACAAACCATTGTACCTCTCTATCCTGCCTGCTGCAGTAGAATGGTATGGCACATGAAACTTCCATTTAATTCCCAACTGTTACAACCATTCTTGCAGTCCATGTCCAGTGAAGTGGGTGTCTCCATCACTTGCAATTACCTGTGGTCAGCCATAGGCTGCAAAGAGAGGCTCCAGACCTTTTCTGGTTATCTGTTGGTCAGCACAGAGTGTAGGAAAAGCAACCATAAGTCTAGTAGCTATGTCTACACAAGCCCTTTTGATATGGACAGAAGTCCAGTATAGTCTTATCTCCCATCCGATGAAGGGTATTAGCCCCTTAGCTATTGTTCCATGTTGCAGTGGAACTTAGTAAAAGCCCCTTTTAGAGCATCTGATGCACACTTGCTGGGCTCTGCTGATTTCTTCAAAGGTCAAAGTCAAGCTGCACTGACAGGCTACAGCCCACATTGTCTTTTGCCTTTCATGCAACAAATGCTGATATAACCATTGGACTACATCAGAAGCAGGCTTTCTTTCTAGCCAGTGCACCTGGGCCAGTTCAGCTGCTCCCTCATTTCCAGGGGATGCCAGTGGCAAATGACCTGTCACATGGTATACTGTAACTGTTTTAGTCTGGCCACAGGCCCATAAGTCTTGCCACAATTCTTTCCCCTAAAGTGGTCTGTGACCAACCATTCAGTTGACTTGGTACCATGTTCGTAGCCACAGGGTCAAGTCCCGATAAATGGCCCAGCTGTCAGTGCAGACAAATAACTATAGGGAAGGGCTCCTCGCTGATCACAAGCTACTCTGCCTGCAACTCTGTCATTGACTGCTCTTAACTTCACCATTTTCCATCCATATTGTCTCAGTCTTAGTGGAAAGCTATGGCCCTCCATTTTGGGGGCTGCCCCTGGCTGGAGCTCTCTGTGTACCATGCATCTTCGGGTATAAGGGCTCTTCCCACCTGATAAAGACTCTCTGTTACTAATGGTTCTCAAAGAAATTCTTTGTTTTTCATTAGTGTATGTCGCTGGCCCCAGTAAGCATTGGAGTTCTTCACTCAAGGGGCTACTAGAGAGGGCACTATGCTGCTGTAGGTAAGCTCCCTACTTGGCCAGTGTGGGCGTTGTGTCATGCCATTCCTTGGCTTTTGAGCCCAGTTTTGTACACGCCCCATGATGGGATAGGTGGTTACTACCTCTATCGGGGCCATTCCAGTGATGGGTTCTGTAGCCAGCAAGGTCTGATAAATGGCAGCAATTGTTTTTCTATCAAGTTGTATCGTACCTCTGCCACTTTGTAGAGTTGTGACCAGAATCCAATAGGTTGGCAAGATTGTTCAATCCCCTGCCAGAGACCCCAGCCATAACCATCTTCCATTACATGAACATCCAACTCACAGGGCCTTGTTGGGTCTATCACACTCAGAGCCTGCATGGCCTTCAGTGCCCGTTTTGCTGTAGTAAAGGCAGATGCACATGTCTGATCCCAGTCCCATCTGATGCCCTTCGTACATTATAAGAGTTTCAGAATTTGTGCGAAATGTTTGATAAACACTCCCCAGTAGACTAGAAGACCCAAAAACTCCTGTAACAATATTATAGGAAAGGCCTTGACTTTATCTATGACTACTTGTATAACTTTAGTCTTACCTGACCAGACTACCCCCAAGAATTTGACTAACAAACCACATCCCTGAACCTTGGTTCTCCATCACTTGCAATTACCTGTGGTCAGCCATAGGCTGCAAAGAGAGGCTCCAGACCTTTTCTGGTTATCTGTTGGTCAGCACAGAGTGTAGGAAAAGCAACCATAAGTCTAGTAGCTATGTCTACACAAGCCCTTTTGATATGGACAGAAGTCCAGTATAGTCTTATCTCCCATCCGATGAAGGGTATTAGCCCCTTAGCTATTGTTCCATGTTGCAGTGGAACTTAGTAAAAGCCCCTTTTAGAGCATCTGATGCACACTTGCTGGGCTCTGCTGATTTCTTCAAAGGTCAAAGTCAAGCTGCACTGACAGGCTACAGCCCACATTGTCTTTTGCCTTTCATGCAACAAATGCTGATATAACCATTGGACTACATCAGAAGCAGGCTTTCTTTCTAGCCAGTGCACCTGGGCCAGTTCAGCTGCTCCCTCATTTCCAGGGGATGCCAGTGGCAAATGACCTGTCACATGGTATACTGTAACTGTTTTAGTCTGGCCACAGGCCCATAAGTCTTGCCACAATTCTTTCCCCTAAAGTGGTCTGTGACCAACCATTCAGTTGACTTGGTACCATGTTCGTAGCCACAGGGTCAAGTCCCGATAAATGGCCCAGCTGTCAGTGCAGACAAATAACTATAGGGAAGGGCTCCTCGCTGATCACAAGCTACTCTGCCTGCAACTCTGTCATTGACTGCTCTTAACTTCACCATTTTCCATCCATATTGTCTCAGTCTTAGTGGAAAGCTATGGCCCTCCATTTTGGGGGCTGCCCCTGGCTGGAGCTCTCTGTGTACCATGCATCTTCGGGTATAAGGGCTCTTCCCACCTGATAAAGACTCTCTGTTACTAATGGTTCTCAAAGAAATTCTTTGTTTTTCATTAGTGTATGTCGCTGGCCCCAGTAAGCATTGGAGTTCTTCACTCAAGGGGCTACTAGAGAGGGCACTATGCTGCTGTAGGTAAGCTCCCTACTTGGCCAGTGTGGGCGTTGTGTCATGCCATTCCTTGGCTTTTGAGCCCAGTTTTGTACACGCCCCATGATGGGATAGGTGGTTACTACCTCTATCGGGGCCATTCCAGTGATGGGTTCTGTAGCCAGCAAGGTCTGATAAATGGCAGCAATTGTTTTTCTATCAAGTTGTATCGTACCTCTGCCACTTTGTAGAGTTGTGACCAGAATCCAATAGGTTGG